GATGCTAGTGAGGGACTGTGGGAGGCCGGGGACAGGTCTTGGTTCCCTCAGTCTTTCAGAGCTAGCAAGAGCCGGCTGTAATGCTGTGTGAGGAGTCTGTGTTCCTGCCTCAGGGCCTTTGCATGTCCCAGCCTCCAATGGAACCCTCCCCTCCTCCTCTTGTGCACTGCCTCCACAGTTTATATTCGTTCTTTAGAGCTCAGCTTGGAAATGGCTGCCTGGAGAAATATTTGTTTGCTCTACCCTAACCCCATTTTCCTAGTTAAGAACTTGATATGATCTTCACACCACTTGCCCCAGTCCTAATTAGAATAATAATGTTATTGTTCGATATCTGCTGCTTAATCTCACCTTTGTTTGCAACACAGTGTTAGACACAGAGGTGGCATGCAGTCAATATTTGCTTAAAGAATGACTGAAGCCGAAACCGGTTTGGCTCAATGGATAGAGCACCGGCTTGGGGACTGAAGGGTCCCGGGTTCGATTCCGGTCAAGGGCATGTACCTTGGTTGCGGGCATATCCCCAGTAGGGGGTGTGCAAGAGGCAGCTGATCGATGACTCTCTCCCATCGATGTTTCTAACTCTCTATCTCTCTCCCTTCCTCTCTGTACAAAATCAATAAAATATATTTAAAAAAAAAAAAAAAAAGAAAGAAAGAAAGAAAAGAAAAAGAATGACTGAAGCGTGTCCACTGGGTTTAGCAATAAGCAGTCACTGTTGACTTCGGTGAGACAGTTTCTGAGAAATGGTGGAGGTGGAAGTCAGATTGTGGCAGATTGTCCCGGTAAGTAGGAAGTGAGGAAATAAGGGCAGGTTTGTGTAGATAGCTTTTTAAAAATATATATTTTTTTTATTGAGTCTTTACAGAGAGGAAGGGAGAGGGATAGAGAGTTAGAAACATCGATGAGAGAGAAACATCTATCAGCTGCCTCCTGCACACCCCCACGGGGGATGTGCTCCCAACCAAGGTACATGCCTTTGACCAGAATCGAACCTGGGACCTTTCAGTCCACAGGCCGACGCTCTATTCACTGAGCCAAACCGGTTTTGGCTGTTAGAGAAATCTTGACTTTTGTGCCCGTAGTGCCTAGCCCAGAGCTGGTGCTACTTAAGCGTGAAAAGGCTTTGAATTCCTCCAGACGAGAAAACAGGGCGGGCTCCGGAGCGTGTAGCAGTACCAAGCTCTCGAATACCCTCATCACACAAAGCTCTGGTCCTTTTTGCATTCTGGGAACAGCCAGAAGTCATTCCGAGCCAAGATACTGAATCGTTGAGCCAGTGGGTGGTCAGGTTAGAGACTATTACTTTTGGGTTAAAAATTAAAAACAAGAAGCAAGGTGCGGCTTCACAGAATGAGCTCTGCTGGGGCGGGGCAGGGCGGCAGTTCACAAAGGGACTCTCAGAGCCCTTCCATGTAATTGTTCCAAAAAATGTTCCCAGCTCGAATCTCCAGACTGGGGGGGGGGGGGGTTCGATTGGATGTCTGTGTTCATCCAAAACCCAATTCACTTTCTCACCCCCGCCCCCACCCCCATCCATAGCCCATTTTAATGAGTCTCAGTCTTTCTGCTTTGGGGTCTGGGAGGGTGATGGCGCCCTCTCTGGCCTCTTCCACCCAAAGACCAAAAAGGCCCCTCGGGAGAGTCTGAGAGGTTGGGATCCTGGAGGCGACGGGCGGGTGTATCCCATCACCAGGGAACTGGAGGAAAGGAGCAGGTGAGGAAGGGTTCTAAAGCCGTGGTCGGCAAACTGCGGCTCTCGAGCCACGTGAGGCTCTTTGGCTCCACAAAATAACATAGCCTGGGCGAGTCTATTTGGAAGAAGTGGCGTTAGAAGAAGTTTAAGTTTAAAAAATGTGGTTCGATTCTGGTCAGGGGTATGTACCTTAGTTGCAGGCATATCCCCAGTAGGAGGTGTGCAAGAGGCAGCTGATCGATGACTCTCTCTCGTCAATGTTTCTATCTCTCTCCCTTCCTCTCTGTACAAAATCAATAAAATATATATATTTTTTAAAATGTGGGTCTCCAAAGAAATGTCCATCATTTGATGTTTGGCTCTGTTGACTAATGAGTTTGCCGACCAGTGGTACACACTGGCTTTTTGCTGTGAGAGATGAGTTTGCTGGCCCAGCCACATGGGCATGAACCGCAGCTCAGAAAACATGGAAGCCCGTCTGTACCAGTCAGTCATTGTCAGCCCTGGACTGGCCCAGGGCTCCCCCGTCTCCTGGCTCCCCATCCCACCGCCAGGACCAGCACCATCCCCTGTCTCCCCGGAGTCACAGGGGAAAGGACCAACCCCAACCCCAACCCCCATCTCCCAGGCCCTTCCACACTCACCACTTCACCCCAAGCAGCCGAGCTTCCAGCTGTTTTAAATCACTGCCTCAGGTAAGGCTCTGTTTGCAGAAAGTATTCAGTGTGAAAACCCTGCTCAAGGTCAGCCCTCAGGCCCCTGCGAGCTTGCAAGTGATGGAGCCTTTCTCCCTCACACACCAGCTCCTTAGGAAGCGGGTGCTGGGTGCAGGGGGAGCCCCCAGTGACTCAGGAAGGTCCCAGTGGAGGGAAAGCCCCCCTGGGATTGGGAGGATGAGGAAGGGCATTCCAGGAGGAGGGAACTGCAGGTGCGAAGGTGGGGAGGCAGGAGAAGCCCGCCCCGGACTGGGAACTGTGGGAGGCGCTGGAGCCCAGGCCCAGGAACCCTGCTGGGTGAGGCGGGGGGGGGGGGGGGGGGGCAGAACCCGCTGCCTGGCCCATCTGCCTCCTGTGCTCTCTCCAAGAGTCTGAAGAGGGTCTCACCTGCCTTTTCAGCTCCTGGGGGCTCTGGCCGCATCATTTCAATCTGTACATGGCCCCTCCTCCGTCCTCAGTGCCCACTATCGCGTGATCACATGGCCCTACCCTTGATCAGGGCTCACTTCTGTTTGTTCACGTGACCCCGCGCCCGCCCCCCCCTTCACGTACTTACAGCAGTTCACATGCTCATTTACACGTGGCCCCACACCCTTGATCATGTGCTCACTTATGGCTGTCCGCGTGGCCCCGCCCCCTTGATCACGTGCTCGTTTACGACTTCATGTGGTTACACCCCCTTGATCACGTGCTCATTTACGGCTGTTCACGTGCTCATGGCTGTCCACGTGGCCAAGCCCCCATGATTACGTGCTCGATTACGTGCTCACTTATGTGCTCTGTGGTTCTTCCACAAAATACCATGGCCTGGGCGAGTCTATTTTGAAGAAGTGACGTTAGAAGAAGTTTAAGTTTAAAAAATGTGGCTCTCCAAAGAAATGTCAATTATACTGTTGGTATTTGGCTCTGTTGACTAATGAGTTTGCCGACCACTGTTCTAAAGCCTTGCGCCAGCAAGTTCAGTTCCCTGGGCCATGAGGACAGCTGTCTAGGCTCTGACTGCCCCCACTGCTGCTGACCAATCCTAAAATGGCCGGAGCGGGGCATTGTCTATTTACGGCCCCTGTGCCTGTGGCAGTCTGGAGCTACCCAGAGAGAACAAAGCCACACACACAGAGAGCACAAGGGAGTCTTGTAACAACCTTGTCCCGCTTTCTAGGGCTCAGTAAGGTACCACGGCTCGATCTCAGCTGCCCTCTTTATTTCAAGAAGTTGGCAGCCGAGCCACACCAGGCGTATTGTGTTCTGTCCTTTTTGGAGGGACATGGACCAGTTCTGCTATTGTCCACACTAATACCTCAGCCGGCACAGCCCTTCCCCACCCTCTCTCAGCCTTTGGTAAATCTTCCCCATCTTTCAAGGCTCAGCGCTCAAGTGTCCGCTTCCCCTACAAAGACTTTCCTGGCTCCCTAAGTGGAACGAGTAGGAATTAACATGGTGGAGGGAAAAGAGCGTTGTCTTTCCGATGAGCCAGACCTGGGTTGGGATGCTAGATCTGCCACGTGGCCTGTCACCCGTGGCCCCAAGTTTCAATTCTCCCATCCATTCAATGCCTCGCGGGATTCTTTTGGGAATTAAATGAGACAGTGCCTACCATAATTCTTGGCGTATAAGAGGCATTCATTAAAAGTTTATTCTTCCCCTTCTATATCTTTCTCCGACATCTTTCTCCGAGCTAAAATAACACTTTGCTTCCGCTTCTGAAAGAGCATCTAAGTGGAAAATGACTATGAGGAAGGATGTTTCTTTTCCCGGTGGATGTGCATCCCAATGGAGCAGGGATGATGTTATCCAACCATCTCCAACGTAGAGCTTGGTGGAACCCATGGGTCCAACGAGTGGACCCATGAGGCTGGTTGAATGAGGGAGCTCCTGGACGAGGTGGCGGGAAATCTGCACACCCAGAGCTTTGGAGGAGCAGACAAAGGCAATACCACGATGAACCGAGAAAGGACACGTTTCTGGGTGCTGGTGGAGAACAGTTGTAGGAAAGGCTGGTCCGGAAAGAAAAAGACCTTGTTCATTTCATCTGCTCAGAACTATAAGCAAGGACGGACACATCCAGAAAAGGCAGGTTTTGTTTCAGTAGAAAAAAGGAACCATCGGAACCATTTTTAAAAATGAATTCTCGCCAAAACCGGTTTGGCTCAGTGGATGGAGCATCAGCCTGTGGACTGAAGAGTCCTGGGTTCGATTCCGGTCAGGGGCATGTAAGTTGGTTGCAGGCACATCCCCATCGGGGGGTGTGCAGGAGGCAGCTGATTGATGATTCTCTCTCATCGATGTTTCTGACTCTCTATTCCTCTCCCTTCCTCTCTGTAAAAAATCAATAAAATATTTTTTTTTTAAAGTTAACAAATCTTCTAAAAAATATATATATATGAATTCCCTCTCCCTGGGGAGATGGCAGGCAGTGCTTCCGGAGTTGGTCTAGGAAAGGGAATTGTGCATCTGGCCCAACACTGGATTAACCCTTTCAGTTTGAGAATCTGCTCCCTGAGTCTTCTTCCACACCGTGGGAGCCAGTGCCCCTTCACTCGTGGTACTTCCGGCCTCTGACCCTCCCTCCCCCTCGGTTTTGTGTGCAGGTGAGGATGCCTGGAGGTGCCGGGGCTGTGGGGACCACACTGCTCCCAGCCAGAGATTGTACAGGACTGTCAACGAGGCCTGGCACAGCTCCTGCTTCAGGTAAGTGGGTCTGTCCTCCTGTCTTGCTGGTGCATTACAGGCCGGGAACGATTTCATTCTCTGGAATATGCAGGCACGAGCTTTTGATTTGGAAGTCTCCTTTTCAGTGGGTGTGGGGTGGGGAGGGATGTGCCAGGTGCAGCTAGAGGTGGTGGGGGGATGAGAGGAAGTCTTTCCAGGGAGTCCCCGCATTCTCACTTAAATAAAAATGTTTTTTATTGATTGATTTGACACACACACACCCATTTGTTTTACTTATTTATGCATTTATTGGTTGACTCTTGTATGAACCAATGCCCTGACCAGAGATTGAACCCGAAACCTTGGTGTATCAGGGTGATGCTCTAATCAACCGAGCTGCCTGGCCAGGGCCACCCTCACGGTTCAGGTGAGGAAACTGAGGCCTCCCCCTTACACTTCTGACTTTGCAGGGGCCTCAGGCTTGTTTGGAGGGCAGTTGGCAAAGCCAGCTCTTCTTCACAGCAGGCTGCCCACCTCGTTTCGGGCTTTTTGTTTTTTGTTGCACGTGTGTTTTTGTTTTTGTTTTGTTATGTTTTTTTGTTTTTAGTGTGTCTGTCTGTGAACACTGTCCCAGAGAAATGAAAAGGAGCTTGCAGTATAGAAAGAAAAAAAATAGCTTTAAGATTGAATGGGGCCCTAACAGGTTTGGCTCAGTGGATAGAGCATCGGCCTGCAGACTAAAAGGGTCCCAAATTCGATTCTGGTCAAGGGCATGTACCTTGGTTGCGGGCACATCCCTAGTGGGATGTTTCTCTCTCATCGATGTCTCTAACTATCCCTCTCTGAAACAGAAAAAAAGAAAAGAAAAAAAAAACAATAAAAAAAAAATATATATATATATATATATATATATTTTTTTTAAGATGTTATCTTTAGCCCAGCCAGTGTAGCTCAGTAGTTTGAGTGTAGACCTATGAACCAGGAGGTCAAGGTTCAATTCCTGGTTCAGGCACATGAATGGTTTCAGGCTCAGCCCCAAAGGAGGGCATGCAGGCGGCATCTGATCAATGATTCGTCATTGATGTCTCTCTCTCTTCCTCTCTGAAAATAATAACATATATACAAATGTATATTTCTTGAAAAGATGTTATCTTTAGCCTGCCAGACCTTGTGACTATTAGTCGGGTCCTGACTACTGGGTTACTGTCTTCTGCTCCTTGGGGGTTGCTGATTATCTGCTCCTGCTTTTTGTTTTTAACTTCATTGTAGTTCTTACTGGTCAAAGACAGCTCATTTTCTTGATTGGTTCCTGCTGTCCAGGGCTCCATTTCCTCCTCAGGAAAATACAGATGTTAAGAATCTATCTAAGACCTGAAATAACATATGGCAAGGGCACCCACGGAACAGTCGTTCCTCTCCCCTGCGAGGTTAGAATCTGCAAGCGTGGAGCTGGTCTCTGCATCCTCCGGAACACAGAGCAGCGCCTGGCCCGCAGTCACTTCTCCTCGGAAGCTGGGTGGCCCCCGCGGTCTGAAGCCGTGGGCAGTGCTCACATCCCCAGACTGAGACCGACTAGACAGGCACCACGCGCTCTGAATTCCAGCACCCACGGACGTGCTGATAGCAAGTAATCTAACTGACCTTTAAGCGCTTGCCGCCACCGGGAACTACGTGGGGGTTTAGCCCCGAGAGCGCCGGCCTCTGGAAGAGTTGGAGGGAACCAGCATTTTTCTGCCCTTTCAGCTCTAGCTCAGAGCTCCCCAGGCTTCTTGGAATCTAATTGCCTCCGTTCCTACTCCGTTTGCTCTCAGGGAGGTGGATTGTACCTTTACTCTGCGATAGGAGCAGTGTCAGAGCTACCAAGGACCTTACTTTGGGTCCGGTCCTTTTGTTTTAGACCTGAGGCTACAGAGCCACATCCGAGCCTGAGTTCCCAGGCCAGGACTTGCCTTGCATCTAACCCATAGGGTCGGTATTTGTCCTCGCTGTTTTCCTGTGTATATAACTATTTCCTATCCAAAATAAGCAAGACCAAAAATGAGGGAAGCTAATCTTCAGAGTTTTGGATTCTCCTATAGTTAAAGAACTTAAGAACTAAAAGGGACCACCTACTACATGATGCTCTACCAACCCTTTCATATCAGAGATGAGAGGCCTCGAACCAAAAAGACAAAAAAGGAGTTCTACCAACAGGCCATGGATGACAGGAGCTGGCCTTAGAACTGAAGTCTTGGGTTATTTGTAGGTCTGATCAGATGCTAGCTTGTTAGCTAGAACCCCGTGTGAGGAGAGACACACACACAAATGCATGTGCACACACATGTAAGGCACGTTACCACGATAGATAAGAGAGCAGGCTGTGGATGGGACGGTCTGATTTCAAATCCTGGCCTTGTAGTTCATTAACTGGCCTCAGGTGACTGCCCTGAGCTTCAGGCACCTCATCCATAAAATGAGACTAAGACTAGTACTCATGCCCAGCTGGTGTGGCTGGCTCAGGTGTTGAACATCGGCCTATGAAACAGGAGGTCACGGTTTGATTCCTGGTCAGAGCGCTTGCCCACATTGTTGATCTCCAGTAGGGGGAGTGCAGGGGGCAGCCAATCAACAATTCTCTCTCATGGCTGTTTTTATCTCTCTCCCTCTTCCTCTCTGAAATAAATAAAAATATATTGAGAGAGAGAGAGAGAATAGTACTCATCCCACAAAATTGTTGGGGAAGGTTAGATGTGATAACCCTATATAAAGTGCTTAGCATAGCACCTGATACATAAAAAACTCTTAATCAGAAGCTGTTACATATCGTGAGTGTGTATCCACTTAACATTCATGTATTTATTTTTCTTATTACATACACACTCATTTGTCATCCGATGCGGTACCTCCGGGATTAAGGTTAGCTTTGAGCTTCCCTTGCATAATTAAAGCGGAGCTCAGGTCTCAGTCTGGAAGTAGAGCATCCAGGTCAGATTGACAGCGTTGCCTCCAGAACAGACTCCCCCTAACCCAGCCCTACTGAAGGAGCCTGTCTTCCCCGCTCCTGAGCCTTTCCTCCCACAAACGGAATGACTTCAGAGCCTGGCCATTCGCACAGGGGACAAAGGCTGCTTTGGAGCCCACTTGACTTCTGCCCAAATGGGAGGGAGGACCGTGTTGTCTGCCTCCAGAAGGAACCTGGGTTACGAGGAGCGTGAAGCATCACCCTGAATGGACTTTTAACACGTCTTCCACCCCAGCTCTCCTGGGATTCTCTGTTAGAAGCAGGACCCTCTCCCTTCATCCTCCCAAAGATACTCATTCTTTCAGACTCCCCCTCAGCCTCGCTCTAACCCAGCAGGGCTATAGTTACAATAAAGGAAATGACTTCTCCCCACCCCCACACCTTTGTTTTCCTAATCACAGGGTGGGGCTGGCTATTGAATGGAGAAACTGCTGGGGTTTGGCTCCCAACTCCTCCCCTCCCCTTCTGTTTGCACTACCCTATCCTCCACCTGCAGCCACATCCCTAACCCGCCTCTCACAGCCTTCCGCCAGTTTGTCAGGTCCCCCCGGGCACAATAGGAAGCCCACTGACTGCTGGAACCCGGAACCATCCGGTGGAGGCCAGCTGACAGATATCCTGGAAGCAGCCCAGCCAGTAACTGTGCCGGTGCAGCCGGGCACCTGGCCAGGACCCCTCTGATCTCGGGACACCTGGCTGACCAGGCCTCTCGCTTCCTCTCGGCCTTTACAACGGGCCTGCTGGGGTTCTAACACTTCCCTGGCCTTCCCTTTCCTTGAGCAGCCACTGGGGCCATCCATGCTCTCTGAAGCTCTCTCGCTGGGGCGAGGGGAGGAGAGGCCCGGAAAGCAGCCGGACTGGATGATGTTCTGTAGCCGAAGTCAAAGGGGAGAGCCGTGGACGGGGACCTGGCCTCTTGGCATGTTTGGGAAGTTTTCTGACTATTGTTCTTTCACCCTCAGCAGAGGTGTTTGGCCCGGAGGAGGGGCGTAGGGAGGAAGGAAAAGCTGCCTGTCTTGGTCTCTGCGGCCGCTACCTGCCACTCTGTCCCGTGCCCCGGTTCCTAGCAGCATCATCAGAGGGGGAAAGCCAGCATTCTCGTGGCTCCTGGGAACGGCCCGGGGCCTCCTTTCTCAGGATCATGAACTTTCTCTTTTGAGAAGTGATTTCTCATGGCCGTCCTCTAGAAAAGAGGTAATGCAGACAGAAAGCCGTTGTCACTTCATCAGACACGACAAGCCATTTCCGCTCCGTTTGTGACTCCAGGAAAGTCCAGTGAAGAAACGGAACGCGTAGCTGCGTCTCGACCAGAAGCTGTGGTGTAACAGGTGGTGACGGTGTTGTAATAGGTTGATGACAGTGTTTTTTTTTTGTGATGCTGAAAATCATACTCGTTTTCTCACCCACACCCCCCAATTACAGTAATAGGTCACATTGATTAAACGTTTCCTCTGCTCCAGACACTGTCCTAAGCATGTCACATGCATTATCTTATTTAATTCTTGCAACAACCTGATACCTGCAGATCTGGCCTTACCCTGTTTTACAAAATAGGGAAATGAAGGTCCCTTGCTTACAGTCACAGAGCTAGTAAGTAGCATAGATGGGATTTGCACCCGGGCGTTCTGAATCCATGCTTGTAAGAGTCTCTGCCTTCTTGAGGATGGGTATGTCATTTGTATTTCGTTTAACCTCTCCAAGGCTCCCTCTTCTGTGACTTCAGGGTAAGAACACTCGCCCTGCCTGCCACACACCGGGTATCAGATAACATTGAAGGGTTCATGAATTTTCAGTAAAAGTGCTCTTACATGTCTCCTGCCGGGACTCCTGGATTGGGAGTCAGTGGAACAACCCTGCCACCTGCTGTTGTACTGTTGATGCTGCTGCTGCTGCGTTTATGGACGCACAGCCCTTGTTTCTAATTTGCTCATTTGTCCAGTTTATCGCTAAGGAAACAGCCAGCCAGCCGGTCAATAGGGCTAGCTGTCCGACAGGGGGCTGGGCTTCCTGACAGAGGAAGGGAAGGACAGACACCTGG